AGCGGGGCAGTACTGGACCAGATCTACCTCAGCGTTCCGGTTCAGTGGGGGCACCAGTGACTTCAGACTTCCTGGTCTCATGATGTCTTTAGACACTTAGAAATTATTGAGGACCTTGAAGAGCTTTTGTTTATTTGGGTTAATGTTTGTTAATATTTATGGTCTTTGACATTGAAACAAAAATTTAAAATGTTATTTATTATTTCATGTTAAAATAGCATGAATAAATCAATTATAGGTTAACATAAATAGGATATTTTATGAAAAAGCAATCTAGTTTGTCCAAACAAAAGGTCAAGATGTATGACATTCTTTAACTTTTTCCAAATCTAATGCCTGGCTTAATAGAAGATGTTTGTATTCTTATATCTGCTTTTGTATTAAACCTATTAGTATATCATAGGGCATATAGGCTCAAAAAAACTTTGCGGTGCCCTACTGAGAGAATGAGATGAAAAACAATTAGTGTTTCGTTATTATTATTATGAAAATAGTATTAACCTTCGGGATTCCGTAACAGTGTATCAGAGTTCTCCCTCAGAATCGCCAGACCGTATTTCAAAACTGGAATAGTGGATCCTGGAAGTGAATCCATGTGCTGGTTAATTTCTGGAGTCATCTCAACTGGACTAAGGAATACCTACACAACTGGTACAACATTATTTCTGGGTGTGTCTGTGAATGTGTTTCCAGAAGAGATTGGCATGTGAGTCAGTGGGAAATTCTCCCCTCCAATTGACTGGGAGCCCAATATCACAACAAGGCAGAGGAAAGGCAAATTCTTCTCTCTCTGGAGCTGAGACACTCTTCTTCTTCTGACCTTGGACATCAGAACTCCTGGCTCTCCAGCATTTGAACTTCAGGACTTGTTCCAGGAAGCCCTGGGTTCTGAGGACTTTGGCTTTGGACTGAGAGTTACGCAATCAGCTTCCCTGGTTCTGAGGCTTCTGGACTTAAACTGAGCCACGCCACCAGCATCCCAGGGTCTCCAGCCTACAGATGGGTTGTTGTGGGATTTCTCAGCCTCTATGATGACAGGAGCCAATTTCCCTATTAAACGCCTGCTCACACATCTATATTGTATTGGTTTTGTCTCTCTGGAGAATGCTAATACTAACAAGCATCTAAAATTCTGGCTTGAATGGTAGTATTTTAGGTTTTAGATAATTCAGTAATCCAGTTGGACTGAAAGAATTTAAATAATCAAAAATTTTATTACTGCAGTTACGAATAGGAATCAGGAGTGATTCTTTCAATACCTGATTTCTAAAGATGGAGGGCAGGGTTGTTTGTGTTTGTGTGTATGTCTTAGTCTATTTGGGCAGCTGTAACAAAAATACCACCAAGCCTGAATGGTTTGTAAGCAACAGAAATTTATTTCTTGCAATTCTGCAGGCTGGGAAATCTAAGATCATAGATTTATGCACACCCCAGCATACTGGTGTGTGGTGGGGGCCCTTAGCCTTGTTCATATGGCAAAGGAGAAAAATTCATCTCTAGGGTCTCTTTTGGAAGGACACTAATGACATTCATTAGGGCTCCCCCAAGCTCAGAGAGAAAATAGAAGGAGGAGATTTCAGACTTCCTGCCACTGCCCTGACCTGCGCCTGCCCCTCCTGATCTGTTTTTTCTGATTTAAGAAGCAGTTGTCCTGTCTCCTATGTCAGGCTAATTCTGCATCCACACCCTGGACTCTCACTCTGCAGTTTCCCTGAGGACTTCTGTGTTCAGTTCATTCATTCATTCATTCAACAAAAATCAGTGAGTACTAACTACATGCTAATCAGTGTTCTTGGTACTGGGGGCAGAGAAGTGCACAAAGCAGAAAGTCCCATTCCTTAAAAACCTACCTTTTGGTTGTAGAAGACAGACAGAAAACAAAATAAGTAGTAACATATATGGTGTATTGGGTGATGATAGCTGATCATAAGATGAATAAATCGGGGGAAGAATATAGGAAATCACAACTTCTAAAAGGATGGTAATGAGCAAGGGGAGCGAGGCACAGAATACCTGGGAGAAAAGCATTCTGAGTTGAGAGAACAGCAGTGCCAGAGCCCAGAGGCAGAAGCACTGCGGTTTGCATGAAGAACAGCAATGAGGCTGGTATGGACAGAGCACACAGGGTGCCCAGAGAATAGCAGATGACAAGGCCAGAGGAGGTTGAGGGCTGGATTGCATATGGCCTTGAAAGTCATCATGGTGACCTGGGCTTTACCACTGAGAGGGGAGCCACTGGAAGGTTAGAGCAGAAAAAGGGCTGGACTCACTTATGTTTTAGGAAGTTACTTCACATGCTAGACTGAGATGGGCTGTGGGTAGGGGTGGTGGATGGAAGCCTGAAGACCCAGCTGGGAGCTACTGCAGTGATTCAGGGGAAGATGCAGATGACTTGGACCAGGGAGGAGCCATGAAAATTTTACGATGCTGGATTTATTTCCCAGACAGAGTAAAACTGCTTTGCTGTTAAACTTAGAGGTGGCGTGTAACAGGAGGGCGTCAAGGGTGACCACAAGGTTCTGGTCCTAAGAAATGGTCCAGATGGAGTTGCCACTTACTGAGATGGGGAAATTGAGGGAGAAGCAGGCTGTAGAGGCCGGGGGAGGAGCCAGCACAGAATCCGGAGGTCAGCTTTGGATAGGTTTGGGTTGAGGAGCTTACTAGGGATCCCCGTGGAGATGTGGAGTAGGCAGGTCAGTAATAAATGTATAGTCCAGGCAACGGGTCCGGGCTGGAAACACAAGTTATTCTCTTTGTCCTCTTCATGTTCGTGTTGTTGCCACTGCCTGTTTCTCTTACCTAATGTGTTAGTGATCTATTGCTGCATAACAAATTACTACAAACTAAGGGATTTAAAACAGTACACATTTATCATTTTAGTTTCTGTGAGTCAGAAGACCAGGCAGAGCTTAGCGGGCTTCTCCGCTCAGAACTTCACAAAGCAAAAGTCAAGGTGCTGGCCAGGCTGTTGCCTCGTCTGGAGTCTCGAATGTGGGAGAATCCTCTTTCCAGATCACTCAGGTCATTGACAGAATTCGTTTCTCTACAGTAGGACTGAGGGCCCTGGCTCCCTGCAGGCTGGAGCTGGAGGCTGCTGTCAGCTCCTACAGGCCTCCACAGCTCCCTGCTGTGTGGGTCTCCCATGATGACTGCTTTCCTCTTCATAGCCAGCTAGCAAGACAGAGCCTCCAGTGTGGGTCAGCTAGCAAGACAGAGTCTTACTCTACATAGTGTAGTCATGGAAGGGACCTCCTATCAGCTTTACCATATTTTACTGGCTAGCAGCAAGCCACAGGTTCAGCTTACACTCACGGCAAGTACAGGCTGCAAAGTGCAAGAGGAGTCATAAGGGGTCCACTCCAGAGTCTGTCAGCTATGCCATATAAGAAGCTCAAGGTTCTCCCATTGTAACTGCTCTGCTTCCCCTTTGCCTGGGCAGTACACCCCCACTTGCCTCTCTCTAGGTCTCTGCTTCCATACAGGCAATGTCTTAGAAAGATAACATATGCATGGCCCTCAGGCACTGTCTGCAGTGATGATAGCCACTGCTATGCCACACCATAAACATTTCCTTTTTTTTTTTTTTTGAGACAGAGTCTTGCTTTGTTGCCCAGGCTGAAGTGCAGTGGTGTGATCTCTGCTCATTGCAACCTCTGCCTCCTGGATTCACGTGATTCTCCTGCCTCAGCCTCCCAAATAGATGGGATTGTAGGCATGTGCCACCAGGCCCAGCTAATTTGTGTAATTTTAGTAGAGAAGGAGTTTTGCCATGTTTGCCTGGCTGGTCTGGAACTCCTGATCTTAGGTAAACTTCCCGCCTCAGCCTCCCAAAGTGCTACATTACAAGTATAAGCCACTGCTCTTGACCCATAACCATCGTTTCTATCAGTTACTAGTGGTTTCTCAACCATTAAACCAGTTAAACATTTCTATTTTCCCCTCCCACCCCCATGCTTTCCTTTTTAGAGAGACAGGATCTTGTTCTGTCACCCAGGCTAGAGTTCAGTGGTGTGATCATAATTGACTGCTGCCTAGATCCCCTGGCCTCAAGTGATCCTCCTGCCTTAGCCCCCCAAAGTGCTGGGATTGTAGCTGTGAGACACGGCCTTGCATGGACAGCCCTGAGTTCTTCATAGACCTGTCTGAGTAGGTGTTCCTGCCTGTGTGGCATTTGCCTCATCAATCCCCAGGACCCTCTTCACTTGCTCCACTTGCTCCAGAACTGCTTATATTCCTTAGGCTTTGGTCCTGGCCTCTCATTTTGTACCATGTATGCTCTTGTAAGATCCAATCCAATCCATTTTCAGAGCTCTACCCCATAAGCAGACCCAACCAGCTCCTATGTTTCTGTCTCCAGCCCCACGCACTCCCTGAACTCAGTGCCCACTAGGGATCTCACAATGAGTGTGTCCAAAACTAAATTCCCATCAACCCTGCCTGCCCATCTTTATCTGAGTGAGTGACACTGCCTAACAGTCATTTTAGACTTCTCTTGCTCTCTCTGACTCATAGCCAAGTCCTGCTATTTGCACTTCCTTTCAATAGTCCAGCTTAGCAGTTACAGCACAGACTCTGAAGCAAGACAGCCTGGAATCAGAGCCCAGCTCAGGAAGAAACTACTCATGTGACCACGGGAAGTTATTTAACCTCTCTGGACCTCAGCTTTTACATCTATAAAATGTGGGAAATAAGGTTTCTACCTCTTAATGTTGTTGTGGGTCTTGTTAATACATGTAAAACCCTAAGCACAATACCAACATCGTGGCAGTTTCTGCGTAAGTAGTTCCTAGTGTTAATGTTAGTAATCAATCAAGTCTCCTCTCCCCCACTGCCAAGCCACCATCATTTCTTGCCTAGAGTGTCACAGGAGCTTTCTTCCTGGTCTCCCTATCTCCTAACATCTGGCCCAGGATGAGGGCAAGACACATCATGCAACCCCAGCAGGCATCATCTCACAGAATACAAAGTAAATGGCACCCTAACCTCCGATCTTCCCTGGCACCTGCTCCACTGCTGTTTTCAATGTACACATTTCTCATGTCAAACTTTTCAGAGATTTTCCCTTCCCCTTCAAACTAAAACCCCAGCTCCACAGCAGGCATCTGTTGATGTTGTCTTCAGGGGAGGTGGATTTAGGAGTCATCAATGCAGGGATCAGAATGGAGCCTTTCAGAATAGAAGAAATGAAATTCATTGAGGGATACTACTTGCAGAGGTTGTGCTAACTCTTCCTTAAATAACTTATGGAGCAGGTCTTATTCCCACCCTACAGACGAACAAGCAGAGACATAAATAATTCGTTTACTGGCTTTGGGTTCCCAGGCAAATCAGTTGTGGATGACAACAGATAAAGATAGAAAAGCAAGCCTAGAGAGAGTAGACAGAGCCAGCATGCCTGGGACATGCTGACAGATATCTAGATATAGCTGTAAAGAAAATTTGTGTTCATGGGAGTTCCTAATGGCCATCAGAGGTAGCATAATAACCATGAGAAATGGACATTTCTTGATGAGATGAGACTACATAAAGGAGACAGACACACCTATTGCATGCAGGACACCACATTAGGTCTTGTAAAAGACAAAGAGAAGATAGGATCAAGTGCCTAGGTCTTGAAGGAGGGCTAAATGCACTTTTCACTTAGCGTACATTCTTGTGACTTACTGTTTTTGATACACTGTTGTAAGCAAACTGCATGTATTATCTCATTCCATCCTCACAACAACAACCCTAAAGCCAAGTACTATTATTGTCCTTATTTTACAGATAGGGAAACAAGCACAGAGAGGTTAGGTAAGTGGCCCAAGTTCACGCAGGCCACCTGGCTTCGGAATTGGTGCCCTTATCCAGTTCATTATGCAATCTCTCCTCACTAATTTTGAACTTCAGTGGCTGAGACCTACTAGATGGTAGGTTCTTAAAAAAAAATTTGTTGAATCATTGAATTCATTTCTGCCCCATTTCACATCTGTTTATTTCCCAGAGTTACTACACAGCCTAAATTCAAACTGTTGCAATATAAGCAAATTCTATCAGCCCCAGTCACATCCTAGCCTTAGGAACTTTGATCACTTGCAATCCCAAAAAGTATGTTTTGAGGTCCTAGGCCACAGGAGAACCAATTTGTTTCATGAATCTCTTACAGAGACAGCAGTCACACTTTGTCTAGAGTCCAGACTCAGAGAATATGTATTCCACTGGCAGCATGAGAAACAAATACACAGGTAAATGCAATATAGCACAAACCAAGAGCTGACGGTGAATGAAGATGCTCAGAAACACCTGCACTAAAAATTTCCTGAAAAAGGCAAAACATGTCTAGCAGCACTGTCTCTGGAAACCAGACAAATTATATTATTTTATAACAGATCCTAAGCCTGGAAGCTTGAGGTGCTTAAAAGTGTACATTATAACCATGCTCAGTGGCTCACGCCTGTAATCCCAGCACTCTGGGAGGCCGAGGCGGGCAGATCACGAGGTCAGGAGTTCAAGACCAGCCTGGGCAACACGGTGAAACCCCATCTCTACTAAAATACAAAAAATTAGCTGAGTGTTGGTGGTGGGCACCTGTAATCCCAGCTACTCAGGAGTCTGAGGCAGCAGGAGAATCCCTTGAACCCGAGAGGCAGAGGTTGCAGTGAGCCAAGATTATGCTGCTGCACTCCAGCCTAGGTGACTCCATCTCCAGAAAAAGAAAAAAAAAAGCGTGTTGTGGGCCAGGTGCGGTGGCTCATGCCTGTAATCCCAGCACTTTGGGATCAAGGAGGAAGGCACTTGAGCTCAGGAGTTTGAGACCAGCCTGGCCAACATGGCAAAACCCCATCTCTACTAAAAATACAAAAAGTAGCCGGGCATGGTGGCAAGTAGCTGTAATCCCAGTTACTTGAGTAGCTGAGGCAGGAGAATCGCTTGAACACGGGAGGCGGAGGGAGGTCGCAGCAAGCTGAGATCCTGTCACTGTACTCCAACCTGGGTGACAGTGAGACTCCATATCAAAAAAAAAAAAAATTTGTATGTGGTTTTCTTTCCATTCACATGTTTATTTGACTCTGAGGTAAAATCTCCTCCTCCTTCATGTACTCATATTCATGCAAGCAAATGTTAGCAAACTGCCACAATAGCCTTTTAATTAGTGCACATCTTTCTCTTTCACCACATTAATTTTTCCCATTTTGTTCTGCCGATATTTCTATTACGATAAAAGACATAAGACAAGTAAATACATAGAAATACGTATATACATATACACACAATAACGAAAGAGAGAAACACAAACACTAAGGGAGGTGGGCTGGAATTTTTCTTCAGTGTGTACAATGTACTTTCAGTTTTCATTTCGACCTTCCTCAGTGGTTTCTGCCCAGCAACTGATGAGAAACATCACCTCTGAGCCAATCAAAACACTAATTCTTCCAAAGAGAGATTGTTACTATTCCTCTCGATGAGCAAACAGCCTCTGCTTTCTTTTTCCTTTCTTCCAGATCGAGACTCAACCATAATAGAAAGAATGGAGATCTATTAACCGCCTTTCTTCTGTGAGCTGTGGTTTTCAGAGGGGAATGTTAAGAGGTAAGTGGGGGATATTAATTAGAACCCAGGCCACGATGCCTGGGAAGACGGGCTGAATCTCCCGGTATGGTGAGTGGGTATTCAGGGAGAGCTCTCGCCAAGAGGAAGGGGTGTGGTGCCTGAGGGGTGTGCCTGAGGGGTCTGTGCTTGCACACAGGTGGACACAAGGAAAGGGGAGAAGTAGTGCAAGAATAAAGACCTGCAGAGGTTGGAATTTGGTATAAGGAAAGGGAGACAACATAAATGGATGAATATTCTAGTTACATGTTCTTCTTCTTCTTCTTTTTTTTTTTTTAGACAGAGTTTCGCTCTTGTTGCCCAGGCAACAAGATTGCAATGGCATAATCTTGGCTCACTGCAACCTCCACCTCCCGGGTTCAAGCAATTCTCCTGCCTCAACCTCCCAAGTAGCTGGGATCACTGGCATGCACCACCATGCCTGGCTAATTTTTTTTTTTTTTTTTTTTGTATTTTAAGTAGAGACAGTGTTTCTCCCTCCATGTTGGTCAGGCTGGTTTTGAACTCCTGACCTCAGTGATTGGGTTCCTTCCACCTCACCCTCCCAAAGTGCTGGGATTACAGGCATGAGCCACCGCGCCTAGCCAATTGCATGTTCTTAAGAACGTATTGTGGTAAGAAAAGGGCAAAAAAATCTTTAAAATCTGTTCTGGCCAGCTCAAGGCATCTATTCCAAGAGATCCTAAAAAGAGATGCACCTTATAGATTCATATGTAAATTTGTTCATTACAGAAATATTTATAATTTAGAAAAATCTGAACCAGCGTACATATACCACAGGTGGAGTCTAGACAGACAATGCATGGTTCAGTCGCAAAAGGGACTTCCATGCAGCCTTTAGGAATTATGTTTTTAATGAAGAGCAATTATTTATAATTTTAACAACATTAGATCCATACATTAAACCTTGTTTTGTATTTTTTAGGAAGAGTATGTGTTTTTCCCTCCATTCATCATTTCCCAAAACATTCGTTTGGAATGTTTTTCAATGGATACAGTTTATTTCACTGTATGAATATACAATTCTTTTTTTAACATTTCCCTTGTTTGGGCTATTTCCCTTTTCTCCATTTGGCTATTGTAGATTTTACTGTATTGAACAGCTTTAAACATAAATTTTTCTCTTAATCTCTGATTTTTTTTTCTTCAATACTAATTTCTAAAAGTGGAACTTTTGGGTCAAAGCATACAACTTTTTTTTTTAATAGCCTTCCTTGGTAAAGCATATAACATTTTTTTTAAGGCTCTTGTATATATGGCCAGAATCCTTCCAGAAATATTTACATTTCCACTACCAAAGTAGATGATCACTACTATAGTTTTTTATTTTACTGATTGATCAATTTGTAGAGACAGTGTCTCATGTTGCCCAGGCTGGTCTTGAACTCCTGGGCTCAAAGGATCCTCCCACCTCAGCCTCCCAAATTGCTAGGATTATAGGCATGAGCCGCTACTTAAAATTGTTTTCCCTTATGCTTTTATTCATTTGATATATTGAATGGAATCAGGGAAAATGTATATATATATATATATATCCTTTAAAAAGAATAAAAATATATATCTTATTATAAAGATAGCAGAGAAATTTTGAACTCAGGGACAATGATAATAAAAATACACCCTATTTATAGCAACATAAAGAGCAACTTTGAGGAGCAGAAGACATGAAATGCAATGTTTAGTCTGGGTGGGTGCAAGATCCAGGTGGGGGTGGGGACGGCCACTGCACAGAACCCTGTTCCCTTGCTTCCTGTTCCTCCCGCCCCACCTCCCTCTGCAGCCCTTGTTCTCAGAGGCCATCCTCAGACCCACAGCAGCAGGTGTTACGGCTGCAGGCCTCAAGCTCCTTTGTTTTGGGAGAAACGGTTGAGGAGTTAGTATTTACTGAGCAGCTAGTATGCCCATCACTATTATAACTCATAATAATTATTGTTAAGTAATACATGAAAAACTTAAATTTAAAGAATTCCAATATTTTAAAAGTAAAGGGAGCAAAAGGCTCAAGTGTCCTTTCACTCACTAACCTCTAATCTTCAGTTTAGCATTCATTTTTTTAGACATTTTCAGGCATTTACGTATGTAGTTATGCAGAAATGTACAGCTTTGCTTTTGTTTTTCAACTGAATCATTAGTATAGTTCTGCAAGGTGCTTTTTGATCACTTAGTGTATCTTCATTATCCAGGCTCATGACAATAAATCAACTCTTTTTACCCGCTGCACTGAATTCCCTCTGAGGGTTGAGTCGTCATTCCTCTAAGCAGTTTCTGCTGGGTGGCTGGCTCAGTTGGTTACCACTTTTATATTAAAAAATAGTGCTGCAGTGTCATTCACACAGAGGCTTCTCCCTGCACC